CCTCAGCCGCCCCGAGCCTCCATTTTCCCCCCCTCCTCCTCAGGAGGGGTGGGGGGGAGAGGTCCGCCCAAAGCCCTCCTACTCCGGGAGGAGAGGGGGGGGGTCTGTCGCCTTCCCTGGGGGTCTCCGCAGTTTGGGGTTCCCCTCCCCCACAGTCACCCCCTGCGCCTCAGCGTTTCCCTTTAAAAAAACGGAGCCGCTCGGAGCCGCCACCGCCGCAGCCGCTGCCGACCGGAGGGCGCATGCGCCGGAAGGGAAGCGGGCGGGAGCGAACCGGGAGTCGAGGGGAGGGAGGCGGCCCGCGCTATTGTGAAAGGGACCGCTGCCGCCTCAAGAGGGGCGGGGAGGGGGCCAGCTGGGGCCCAGAGCACGGGGGGCCGGCGAGGGGAGGCCGGGGACCGAGGAGCTGCCGGTGGAGTTGGGCGAAGGTGGGGAAGGGAGAGTCGGGAAAGGGAGAGAAGGCGAGGGCGGCGACGGGTAAAAGGAGGACGCGGGAACTCTCTGGGAGAATGGAGTGGGAGACGCGGGAGGAAGGGGCTGCCCAAGGCAGTTGCACCCTTGGTGGAAGCGCACAGAGCGCTCCACGTATGCGGCCTGCGCGGGGCGGCCCCTTCCCCCGGCACCTTGGCAACGCGCCGGGCCCACGCGGGGCGGGCAGAGGCCGCGCTGTCCCCGCAGCCTCTTTACGCCTCCTGGACCAAAGTCAAGATCCACTCTCCTGTTGGAGATTGTGGGTGTTTGCTGGGAGTAGGATGTTGACCTCTTGACCTACCTATCCCAGTAACCCACACTATAGACGAGAAAGAAGTTCTTTGTCTCTAAGGGAGACCAGACTAGAAACAGGGACCTCTGGTTCCCAAAGGGAAGAAAACCCATGATGTCTGCTGCTGAAGGCAGAGTTCAACTCCCTGTGATGAATGGACTCGTACCACCTAACAACAACAGTTCTTTCCCAGGGGCCATCCCCAACCTGCCTAGGTGTCTTCTGCAGGCTCGCCAAGGGTTGAAGCAAAGGAAATCTCTAAAGAGATGTGCTGTTAACTTTACCAGTTGTGTTTTATGTTAATCACATCTTCCTAATCTCCATTTTCATTTTCCAGCAACTTTTTAGCCAAGAAATCATTCTGCTTCTAATTCCTTGTTGTGAGAAAACTTTCAAAGAGTTTAATTTATTGGAGTTTTTTGATGTGTTTCTGTTTTAATGTATTTAGAGATAAGGAGGCTAATTTTTTTTTTTGGCTTAAACATTTGTGATGGACATTTTAAGCAATGATTGTGAGTGTGTTTTAAGGATTTAAGAAAGCAAGCCCCAGCCCTCACTGTGGCTTCAAACCATTATGCAAGGGATGTTTTAAGTTTAGGGATGGATGCAAGGAATGTGGGGAGAAGAACATATAAAGGATGTGTAAAACAAGTGAAAAGATAGGTCATGCAAAGAGTTAAAATGAAAAGACAGAAAAGGGCTAGAGGACCCTAAAAAACAGGTGTGAACCCAAACCTTACAACATGCTCTTTTCCCCAAATCCTATCTTCTGTCAAGCAACTCTGAAATAGGTAGATACATACATACATACATACACTCCAGAACCCTGTACATTTTCTCTTTTTATTATTATTATTAGATTTTATTAGTTTTAATGAACATTTACAGAGATTTTGGGTTTTCATTCATTCATTGTTGCACTGTTTTCTCCACCCTCCTCCCCATTTCGTTCTTCTTTCCCCCGCCATGTCTGTTTTAATTGTCCAATTGCCACAGTGCTTGTCAAAGCCAGTTCTGATTAATCTCCTTTGTCAGTGTGTCCCTTACCATTCCCTATCACTCCTCCCTGAGAGAGACTTCACTCTGATTCATAAGGAAAAGGGGATGGCGTATTCTCTTAGCTACTTCCTGCTGAAAAGGGACGCTGTGGGTTTCAGGGTGAAGGTCTTCTCTCACTACTCTAAAGGGCCCCCTTGGCAGTAGGAAACACATAGACTATTATGGAGATTGATTTTGGAATTTAGATGCACTGTTATCAATTGTGCTTAGCCGTACATGTTCATATCCTTGAAGATGTATCATGGAAGTGTTGTAGCCTAGAAGATACAAATTTAACTAACAAGTTAAAAGTGCATGAGTCAAAAATGGAAAAGCAATAATATTGTGAGTAGAGGTTCTAACAGTGGCACAAATCAAGTTACAGAGGTAAGGTGGTTCCATTGCCATCCTTACTCTAACTTAATTCTTTTAGAACCCTGTACATTTTCAACACCTTCAAAGATTCCGCCTTGATCTAAGCCACCACTTTAGTAAGGTACTTTTTTTAATCTCACTTATTACAGTCCTTTTATAACTGCTCTCTATATTTCAACCTTTGTCTTTTCCCAGCAGTCTCTTCTCAGCACAGCAGATCCAGATAAGATGTTAAGTGGGTCACATTCTTTCTCTGTTGAATACCTATCAATGGCTTCCCATCTTGCTTGGAACGAAGTCATAAGGACATAATGATATAAAGGATCTGGCTGCTCTGGGTCCTTCTAATCTTATCCATCACTTCATTGGCCTCCTTGCTGAATCTTAAACATAGCCAGCATGTGTGTATCTGCCCTTGTTCTACCTCTTTCCCTCCACCTGGGTCACTTCCTTCAGAGAGCCACATGGCTTCCTCCCTCATTTCCTTCAGCTCTTCACTAAATGTCACCTCAACAAGACCTTTGACCACCTATATAACTTCAGTACCCCCTCCAGACTACCTGTTTTCCTTTCTTTTTTTCTTCTTACTGTTTGATGCCATATTATGTGAAATCTAATGTGTAAAGATTCTTACCATGGTCAGATTGGCAGAAGCATGATGGATGACGAAGAGATTGAGATTGTTGACAGCGTCAGTTTGCTTGGCTCTACAGTCAACACTCATGGTACCAGCAGCCAGGAAATAAAAAGATGAATTGCACTGGGAAAGTCTGCTGTCAGAGACCTCTCCAAATTACTGAAGAGCAACGATGTCAGTCTGGAGACTAAGGTGCGCCTGATATAGTCCATGGTCTTTGTAATTATTTGCTGTGCATCAGAGAGCTGGACAATGACAAGGGATGACAGAGTTGATGCCTTTGAGCTGTGGTGCTGGAGAAGAGTATTGAATATACAATGGACTGCTAGGAGAACAAACAGGTTCTTCCTGGAGAGGGTGAAGCCAAACTGCTCCTTGGAGACAATGGATTCTGAAGCTCCCATCTGACATACTTTGTACATGTTGCAAGGTGGAGAGGGACGTCATGCTTTGGAGGGTGGAGGGACAGCACAGAAGAGAAAGATCCTTGATGAGATGGATTGATTCCGTGACTAGGGTAATGAGGGTAAGTGTGTCAGAAGTAAGATTGGCACAGGACAGAGAAGGGTTTAGGGCTGTTGTACATTGGATCACTATGAGTCACAGGCGACTGAACAGCACATAACAACAATGTGTAATCTGCCTGGTTTTTCTTCACTCTCTATAACGTAAGCTTCATGTTGTTGTTGTTAGGTGCTCTCATAGTGACCTTGTGTATAATCGATTGGAAACTTACCCTGTCCTGGATTCTGCACCATCTTTACAGTCTCTGCTGTGCTTTTAGCCCAGTGTTGTGTACCAGGGAGGGTGTTTTGTTTTGTTTTGTTTTGTGTGTGTGTGTACCAGGGAGTTGGAATCAACGTATAGCTGTGCCTGGTTTTCAGAGGCAGTTAATCAACAGAAGGAGATTACCCATCTTTCTCCTTCAGAGCAACTGGTGGCCTCGAACCATGTGCTTTTGGAATTGCAAGGTCAGATCTAATTGACACGGGGCAATTGCCCCTCCTCCAGCGGAGCAGCTGGTGGATTTGAACTGTGCGCCTTTGGGATTTCAGTGCAGCCCTTACCACTAGGACACCAGAATTCCCTCAGGGCAGCTCCTTGCCACTAGGATACCAGAGCTCTCAATAAGTTTAGCCCACTAAGTTTCATTATAGTTATTGCTATGTGCCATTAACTTGGAACCAACTCATAGATGCCCCTCCGGTGGGTTTTCAGAGGCTGTAAATCACACAGTTATATAGGGATTGAGCTTATGTCATTTTCTTCACCATTCTAGCTTCTGGACCTGGCACAGAATAGACATTTCATATTCATTGAATGCATAAACAAAATACTTAGGTGTATAAAAAACATCTAAGGGAGCTCTGGTGGCCTAGTGGCAAGAAGCTGTGCTGCAATCCCTAAGGAGCTCAGTTTGAATCCTGATTCAATGGTACACACAAGAATAAAAAAGTGAAAGAAAAGACATCTACCCTGGGCCTTTCAAAAACTCAAAACTTACTGTTGTTGGGCCAGAACAGATACAGCAGACCCTCCAGCAGGTTTTTCAGACGCTTTAAATCACATGAGAATAGATTGCCCATATTTCTCCCCTAAAGCAGTTGGATTCAAAACATCCACTTTTGAGTTGGCAGTGCAGCTTCCTACTGACAAAGGCCATTGCATTGCCTAGGAATTTATCTAGACTTCCCTCATGGAAGTTGAGAATTCATTTATGTAAAGTGAAAAAAAATTGAAATCTAAAGAAGAATGAAATTGTCTAGGATAGG